ACCTACCACTCGACCGCACAGATATATCCACGAATGGAGTGTACCTCATATCCAGTCAGATGGCCAGAACAATGAAGTTTCAACTTTAGTTGCGCTTACAATCATGGGCTTGTGGATGCCCACCAACAACAAATTTTGCTGGCAGCTACTTATGGCGGTGCAGTCAGACCCTGATGGGATGGTCAATTAGGGCAGTAGTTTACTTCAAACGTGCTCTTGGTGAACAATATTGTCATTAGCCGTGTTTTCAAATCATCCGACTCTATTTTCACGCCCGACACGAAACGTTTTATATAATTATGCATGCTGTAAAATAGGTGTAACTGCATCAGGTGTACAACAACGAACTTTATACCGATTTATTATATATTAATCATAATTAGCGCACGGTTTTCTCTTCTCTTTGTTCCTCCACTTAAATTATTGCATCAATAAACCTAGGGAAGAGGGCCTGAGGTCCCTCAAAATTCAACTTTCTTGCACAACCTGGGGTAGAGATCAGTATACATCTCTACACATCTACAATCCAAACGAAACAGTTAAACCAAACTTTCAGTACTCATTCTTTTCACGCAGTCACTTCATATATGGCTTCATAAGGCTGTGGGTGCATCTAACCAAAGTTTTATCACGATCACTGATGCCATAATTGTCTCTTTGCGCATTTGCCCTCATCTGCTCTCACGAAAGAACGTTTATCTAATCTGCGCTACGAACAATGCATGATTTGACTACGCGCATCGCTCCGTTTGATGAAGATCAAAGAATATACCCAGTACTTCTGGCACACTCCAATCGATAGGGACTGCCGTTCGGACAAACAGTGTATTAGTAGGCGTTTTGTTTAAAACCATTTTGCCCAAGAGAAGTGGACTTTTGTTTTTTTTTCCTTCAACGACTAACATGTTTACTAAGGTGACAGCCACCGAACACTTTTGATTGTGAAAACTTTGACTATTTCACCCCTTATATCTTGTCGACTTCTCCTTAGAAACGTAGTTTTCAATGCAGCGCGCACACCATAGTTGTCATAAACAAGCATAATCAACCCCAGCCATGTTTATCCTCGAATTCTCAGAAAAAAACAGGTGACGCCATCGTCCTCAGTAATGTTAGTGATGGGCATTTGCTTAGAAGTCAGCTAGGGACGAGCACAAACCACTAGGCATTCTATACTAGTGCAGCCGCAGATACTACTGATGAGATAAGCAAGTAATATGCGGTTCTTCGTCACTCTCTCCGCGTCTAATGGAAGTTGGGGTTTATTACGAAACTTGTGGAAGTGCTTTGCAGCGTTTGTTTACAACTACTTGATAGTCAAGGTGTATTCACAAAAGTTCAAAAAGATGCGTATGAAACTTTTGATTTCCTGTTCAATAGTTTGTAACTCGTTGGTTTGTGTTTGCTAACAAACGACTTCGCGGCCGAGGGCATTCCTCCTTCAATTAGTATTTTTGATCGTTTTAATTCACCTGCATTAGGTACTTTGCTAAACTGGTTAAGTTGAAATCGTGTTCATTTCACACGCACATCGAAATATATGTCATTAGTAGGCTGACAACCTGTCGAGTTGTGCGAACTTTCCAGATTGGAAATTGAAGGTGGACTCGCGTCCCGGTAGCAACCACAAATAGGACACAACTTGTTTTCAACAAAGAAAGATAACCCGTGTCACGGTTGTGGGATGCTTCATAACTTAAAATATTAAATCTCCCAGTGTGGAGACAGGCGTCAGTCCTTTTTCAGGTTTGAAAAACCTTTACGGACAGTTTCACAGTACATTAGAAACTGAGATTAATGTTGCCAGTTTCTACCAGAAAATGCTGTCAAATTCCCCATCACTTTTCAGCCGGAATGTGTCAAAAATTGACTTCCCGTCTTCTGCTTATTCTGACCTTTTTGTTGATCGTGAGTTGCAATGTCGTTATTATTTAATTACCCACGCAATTTTTGTGCGCCAACGCACAACTTTTATATTACAAGGGAGTCCTAGGTTTCCTATAGAATATTTCACATTATAAGGCATACTACACAACACCGTAACTAGACTGTTTCTTGTTTTTCTTTACAAACTGTTTTCGGCATGTCTGTTGGCTATGCTCGGAATGCTGTGTGCCGAAACTCCTCTTTTAAAGCGCTGAACAATATAATTATGAATCGGACTATGTATATGCACTTTCTAAATGCTTACGTCGTTCACTTCACGTGAGATAGTGTCAGCTAGCCAACAGAATCCGGATTTTTATGGAGAAATAATCGTTTTATGGACAACTTGATGCAGTTTTCACGTAATATTATTATCCTAGCAGGTTAAAAAACAAAATCGAAGGATGCATTGCGTAGGTTTGTGTATGAGTGAAAAACTTTGGCAACTCGTAAACTTAAGAACATATCACTCTATGCCACTTGTGCTGTTCGTTGAACGTCGTATACAACTTAATTACGAGTGTTCATACCAGTGGTTTGGATCCCATATCAATCATATTAATAATTGGACAGGTAAATGATCTGAGGTCCAACACACGTTAGCAACCAGACAACGGAAGAATGCCATTGCGGAGGCGATAACATCAGGGCGAGTCTTCGACTGCTGTACTTCAGATGAATACTGGTGCTCAGGTTGTTCGTGCGTATACCTTAGTATTGTGATGAGTTTAGCAAACGTACACAAGCAAGGGTAAACCTGTAGGAGCACAAGGTGTCGCGCGTTCTGCTATGAGTGCGAACTTCTGGGATCCCAAAAATGGAGATTTTAAAAAATCGCTCAGCTGTGATACCCTTCCAGTGTCTACCCGAAGGAAGCACGAGGACTGGGATAGTGTCAGGTCGTCCAAGCCTAGTCAGGGAAGTCGTGAGACAATCAATATTTTTGGATGAGGAATTGCGTTACGGTGCAGTTGTTGGCGCAGCTGTTGACGCCAGGGAATCACACCACTTGATGTGCTCGTCTATGTCGTGATATTTCAAATATACCGAGACCTCTATGGGCTGATTTCGGGAATTACACTCGTTTGCAAACCAGTTTGATTTTCACGACGGAGTCAACTTAAATTCTCGTTTATAATATTCTCCAACTGGACATAGTCTTCCTCAGGTTTCAGTTGGCATGGTATCCAAGATATCGCGGCATGATTTCATAGAGGAAAATACTCATAATGGCTGTTCATCAGCGGTAAACACAACAAAGTATTTCGCATGAGTCTCCTCTCATCTCATAACCCACGAATTCGAAAAGAGGCGTTGGGGAGTAGCATACCAAACACCTGGAGTACGCACTTCGACTCAGGAAGGTGCCTCTCTCTATTGGATCCACTATCTTCTCAAGGCGAACCATCTTCGTATTGATATTTCAACTCCCCCAGAACATTCACCTACGGATAACTAGCAAGCAGATGGCCTTGTTGCTATAGAGTCACACCTGCCAAAGGCACCGTGCCGCCACATATCTGGGCGGGGTCAACTCCGACCTCAGCTGACCAGTCAACCTATTTAAGTTACTAAAACCTGCGTAAGTTTTAATGGACAGGCGCAAGCACGACTTCTGCTGTGTAAACTTTTGGGGGCTCTTACTATGGTCTTCACCACCGACTTTCCAGAAGAAAACATCTCTTTCTGCACGTAAAGCCGATCTATGCTGAAAAACGCAGAAGCACTTTACACCTGTTTCATCCTGACAGGGTCTCATCATCTCCACGAAACTCCGAACTCCACAGAGCTGTGTCCGAATGGCACTACGGATCAGCCGCCCGTAACGGATGAGACAAACGTTCAAGCTACTAGTCGCGGTGTGACCATTTCGTTTGCAGAAATAATCTCAATCAAACATTAGCGAATATACACTCATTTGCAAACTAATTTGGTTTTTCGAGATACTCACCTGGAACCCAGCTGAATATCTCGTTTGCAATGTTCTCAGGCAACTGAATGTTCTGCACCAGGCCGCCTCATTTTCCAGTCGCTACAATATTTGTGATATCGCGATACATGTATATCATAAGATCGTGGTGTGACCATTTCGTTTGCGGAAGTAATCTCAGTCAAAGATGTTTTTGTGTTCAAAATTTGGTCTCTGAAACATTTGGTTACAACACACGCTTATATGAATCGCCGACCCTAATTTCTAGCAAGACTAGACGAGTAAGAATTCCCCGTCATGAAGGAAACTACTGATTATACTGCTGAAAATTCATTGACAGCTAACGGTCGCTTTGGTCCTTCAACTTTAGGCTCATCATTTGTGAGCGTTCCACGAGTGTCTCTCCACATTTTGTTCGACTTGAACCCAAATCGCATAAAATTCGACAATTACACACATTTGCAAACCAATTTGTTTTCCAGGGGAGATTCACCTAAATCCCATCTGGATTTGCCATTTATGATAACTTTCGTACCCACTGAAACACAAGACAGGTTTTGCACAGCATATTCACCTGCAAAATATCATTAACAAGAGGTCCAGCTTGCACTAAGGAAACCAAACTGATATGGAAATAAGTGTATATTTTGAAGATATCCTTATGCTCAGCTACCGGATATTCTTTTTCTGGCTACCCTTAAATCGCTTTGTTGCTGTAGACCAAACATGGGGAACAGAGTCTCTCCATGCGTTGCATGCTAGATCAGGCAGTTCGGGACGGGTTCTGATGCCATAAGCAACAGCTTAATAGGAACTCTATTCAGCATGAGATATACTGCCAATTTCAAAAGTTTTCAGTTATATTTACAATGGACAAAATCTTTTGTCACAGCTCAGCTCAAAGTATTGTTTCAATGCATTTAGGAGGCGAAACTCTGTTTAGTACATCCCCTTTTCAGAAGAGGTATTCATACTACTCCAGAGGACTTTTTGCCACGGTCCTTATGATCGAAGCAAGAAAAAAAATCAAACGAGCATTTTGACCCCAACTCCTCTTCAACGTGATGTTTTTGATGTCTCCCTCATTAGTCGTGTGTGTTTTATATTTCTTTTTCGGCTTCAAAACTCACATTATCACTCACAGATTGTCGGTGGTGTAATCATGCTCGCGGGTGGGGTGATGGTGTGGAGCCGAGTATTTGTTGGAACTTTAGTGCAGACGAAATTCTGGAAGAAACAGGTTGCACTTGATCCACAACGAGAATCGTACGACCGAATAGCCCAGTTGTTTCAAACTGTGACCAGTAAGTATTATCCATTTCACTTACAATCTTCTTCATCAGCCAGTTTCTTGTGACTATTCTTTAAAAGAAAGAAGAAAAATAGGTCAGACTGGGAATAGTTATCATGATGAAGTTCCCCTTGATCGGATTTCCAGGAATCAGTGGTCAGATCGCTGGATGACTCCACATAAACATGGATGTTTTGTGACACTTAGGAGGATCAGGCATACAGGCTGTTAGTGCCATGGATGTCCAAACGTCATAAAATCCCAAGACCTAACCAAAGATTACTGTTACAACTGGTCATTTGGCCTCGAAATGATGGTATAACAATGAGCACTGACATAAGTTACGTATCCATCATCGGGGTGTGGAAAATATCCGTCGGCTATTGCTGCCATTCCGCCTTTTTGGTTCCAAAATTTTTTCCAGCAGGTATATATCAAAATAAAGGAGGTGATGGATGCACTGTGGTGACAATTCATCGACCGTCAACAGTGTGATCGTCCTTAAACTGACAATGCCGTGCAGGTGCTACCGAGCTTTCTTATGGATTGCGAGATTCTGTGATGATGCAAATCGTATACTGCATAAAATGTCCTCTGAACCTCGCTGTAAACAAAACGGTTCTATCAACCCAATGAGTTCATTCATTTTAGTGGATTAACCAACAGGCCTAGTTCGGCATTCGACTCCAACCACTCTAAATTTGATAGTGTTACCGTACGGAACTAAGCTTATCCACCTAATTGAGAGGATATTGCGTAGACTTCGGAGGCTTGACTGGTTGGTTATCTCTCGTTTCGTCCACTTTTTACTACCGCTCCTTAGTGAAAATAGCAAAACAGAACTTAATCCGTATCCGCTCAACAGTAATTCAGTTAGCAAACTACTTTACCTGTGGTCAAGTACTTCTCGTAGGGGGTCGATAAGCCACACGTGAATGTAGACAAAATGCTGAGTTTGATCCAAGCATAGCTCTTGTGCTTACACTTTCCATGTTAAAATCCTTGACGAGATCATCACACATCCAACCAACTGCTATCATCCTGAAATGGCGATGGTCAAAGTCTGGTTTTATGATAATCCCACAGATTACACTGACTTGAAATTCGTCCCCCTAGTTTAATCCATACAGGGAATAGCAAGAATATGCAGAGACAAAGTGTAAGAAATAATTGTCTAAGCTTCATTTTCAGTTCAGGACTATCTGAGAGGAAATTTCCAAGAGTGTGTGGGCAACACGGCGTTTTTCTTACCTGGCTATCGATGGTTTTCTCTGAGAAACAGCGCGTTTGAAAAATTCAGCAGGGTTGACCGTGACCGTTGGCGAGTATCTTTGGCCTTTGCGTACTATATCGCACCAGTAGTATCGTCAGAAGCCACTAATTTTTGTGCCCTTGTGTGCCCTCGGAAGAGTCCGGTCCTCATCACAAAGTCAAACATGCTGCATCAAAAGAATGAAGACCGTTAAAAAATAGGTCATACCTGTGTCGGAAAGAACTAAAACGCAACCACGAATAAACACTAACGATTCACTGATTTGGACCCGGGACATGCAAATTTGGATAGGGGTAGAAATATCCGACCCAAGAGGCCTACTGTCCTTTCGTAGCCCCAGCTACAAACCCATTATTCTGAACTAGCTATCATCGAAGTAACTTGCTTATGCATATTTCCCATTGGATTTTCGATAGAAAAATCAATCCAGACTTACAACGACAGATCATACGGATGGGAAAACTGTGTTCAAATAATTTCCTCAAGCGCAACAGGTAGGAAAATTTTCCCAGGCGTTTCTGCACTGATGCAGATTTTATCACCAAGTTACAGGACGTCTGATGACTAGGCGCTGACCGTCATTTCAGGACGAAATTCCAAGAGTAGAGCAATCAGGGTACAGAATAACACTAATCAGTTTGACCTTGGATAAACCGAGCACAGATTCTAGCCAGGTGTTCTCCTAGTTACAACATGATGACTCATCATGTCTGACGCCATTGTCATGGCATATATTTAGAGTGAGCAGCTGGAAACTCAACGTCATCCCGCACAGTGTTGGTCTCGTGAGCAGCCGACGAGAAGTTCATCTTAGGAAATTTCGTATCAGTTCCGTACGAAACGGTATTTCCTTCATTCGTAAATTCGGAACTTAGTCACGTGCAGTCAGGTTTTGGGAATCTTCCGAGATTTCCTCGATGTTTCGTCACAGCAAAGTCATCTCATTCTGATTGGTGTGTAAATCCCCTTTCGGTTCGCCCGTTAAACAGGTATGCACAAGATGGTCAAGATGGTCTGATAAATGCTCTCCTGAATGTGCGCGGCGGAAATTTTTCAAAGGTTATCTTAGTTTACCGTTCTTCTTCTTTGAATAAATCTCCATGAACTTCACTGGTGGGATTTGGCCTTCTGCCTGCAAAGATAGTGACTTCGGACTAAACTAACCGAACTTTATTAGCCTCCAAAGTGTAAGGCAGAAGCGAACGTGCTCCTGGGATTGACTGAAATGTGACACCATTCTTGTGGACTCCATCTAGCGCGGCAAATGAATCTACGGCAAACTCTGCCACTCTAGGTATAGTTACCTATCAAGTTAACCAAAGTAATGTTACAGACAAGAAGCTCTGGTCAGTATCTCCGAAAGTCTTCCAGTAGCTGGTCTGAGCAATTTTAGCGAATGTTTCGAAAACCCGAAGTGATCTTTTAGGAGCACTGATTTCAAGACAAATAAATGTAACGGAGCCTGAGGAAGCTGATTCGAATTATTGGGGTTTCTATAACTCTGACGTAGATGTTCCTCACCACGCCGCTACAAACTGAATTTGACTTTGAAGCATAGTGTAGCGGATAGTATACACCGCGCTGCTTGATTGAGAAGAAGTGTTCAAAAGATTCGATGGGGAAAGCGGTGATTCTTTGCTCCTGCAAGTACGTAGGAAACTGACTGGCTGTTTAGGCTGTAGAAGTATAGCCTGACAAGACAAACAATTAAGTGAAATAGACCTTACAATATTTGTCTGTATGCACGTGGAGGTTAAAAATAAAATAAATTATATTAAGTATACTTGACTTAGATGGCGTTCGCAATAGTTGTAATAATGTCACATTGATTCGAACAGATGATCTCCATCGGTCGAATTCAGCAGTGCATATTCCAGCGACTTAGTGAAATGACGTTCATCGCACCGTTCCAGTTGGGTGCTTTTGGACAGAATCCCAACTTTTGGTTAGGTGCAATAAAGGTGAGAGGTTGGTGTGAAAGTGTTGCTTTACTAACAGCGGGCGTGTAACAAGGAATTCGTGTTCAACACCCTTTTCAGCGTGTCTTTAGGACCCCAGCGAAAATATGCTTTGCGGTGTAAAACCACAACAGCAACATCTTGCGGGACACCACCAAACGTTTGAGCCCAAAATCTTGGTACACATTTCTATGCTATGGAAAATCGGTCGGAACAGACTTGGCTACTGAAGGCACTTCGTATGCCATGGAATAGCACACTTGACAAGTTCTACGTCTTATTGGGCTGTATGTTCCACAAACGGAAATACGTGATTTTTCCGATCTACCGGTAGGGAGCTTACTTCAAAATTCAGGGTGGGCATTTATGAGTTTGCTGACCTTCAGTGCACTTGTGTTTTGTTCATTTTCGAGGTAACAGTTTAGGAATTATTACCCAGGAGCCAGTGCCTAAAGTTTCACCACTGCGTAACTCTTACGTCCATTCGTTAACGTACGGTTAACAGATATCTCTGGAACTGATCTATGCAGCCTCACAGATTGGACCACAGATATTCAAATCAATGCAGGCAAATTACATCAACTCACATGGAGAGAGGAAGTGAATGACTCGGCGGGCAAAGTGCCTTGGGAGGTCAAATCATACTAGGCTTTTTACTTTCATCATCGGGTGTCTTCGCACGCGTTACCACTAGCTGACGTCAAAGACTTTTTCAGATATGGCTCGCGAACCGTTGAAAATAGGAGTGGAACTGGAATCTCATAACAATTGGATAGATATACCCAAGTTCGACAACGTATGGGTTTTAGATATATTCACTGCGAGTTCACATTTCAGCACACTTTCTGGCACCACGGTAACCATAGTACCATTCAGTGGTTCACTCTCAATTTGTTTCCGCTTCTGCGTCAAAATCATACCAATGCAACACACCAATATCCGCGTCTGTTCCACATCTGCTTCAAACCACAGGACCAGTTGGCATTGTGCTCTTCGTGATTGGCTTCCTTTTGTCCTTGAGTGCAATCATCGGCTTCGTCGGTATCTATCATCTCCGAATGATGATTTTTGTGGTAAGTCAAAACAGGTGTGTGATGAACTCCCTGTTTGATATAAAGTATCCTGTCAAGTCTCTTATCCCTCCGGGGTTTAGTTATTATCAGTTATCATTAGCTATTATTAGTTACTAGCTATTAGTTATCATTATTAAGTCTAGAGATGGTCTCTGTGGTAAGTGATATTGCAATTGTCCTAAGGTTAAGCGCTGGCTCCACTCAGGCGCCCATTCCAAGCAGACTGACGAACTGAAGAAAAAATGGTTGAGATTGTATTGCACAGTGGAAACTTAGCTTGGTAATCGCACAAGTTCCTAGCGAATTGAGCACGGTACCACGAGTTGTGGGGTTACGGTATCAGCGATTAATGTGCACCATTGGTTTAGGTACATTTTAGAAGACTGTTTTATTGAAAATATCCTGCGACAGCCCAAAATTGCGAAATCACGAATACAGCAGAACCTTGAGCATCTAGTTGATGTGCGTTCGCAAAAAGCTTGCAGAAATGTGTTGATTCAAGTGCCATTAAGTGGTTTATTTTCAACAGGGTTTGGGAACATTATAGTCGGTCTTTCACTAAAAACCACATTCTTGATTAACACATAGGCCCGCAGGTCATCGTGACTGATGTTCGACAATACCGCACACCAATATGCAAAATCTGCAGCCTGGAAAACATCAGACGTACCTAAAGAAAAACTTTTTGAAAACCAGAAATCAAACCGGCGATAAAGTGAAGGAATTCTAGGGAGGCAGTGCCAAGACACCAGGATGTCTCATAATAGACGCAAAGTTTGATTGGGTAAGTAAAGGTAGCCAATCAAACGAAGGATAGCAATCATTATTAGTAGCCACATAAAGGATTTGCGTGCAAGTGTTGGCATTCATTTTGTCTGCGACGAATGTCAGTACGCGGACTGAAATTGTGAAACTATTATTCCCTTGGTGAAAACGTCACTGCTGCAGTCCATGGTTACAAAACCAAACATAGTCTCATCAAACATCCTTTCACCGTGTCGACCACTGCACGCTTGATTGCGAAAGCTAAGTCCACTGAACCTGTACTGGATTTTCCTGGCGGAGGGAGAAAGTCCTGAGTGACGAAAGAGTGCTCATTTTACTGAATGCCGTCTAGCAACTTCAGCCCCAGAGCACCATGGCATTTTTGTCAATAACTCAGGTGTCTCAGCTGACCAGCATCCCCCGCGCCAGCGTGCATCGTATTGTGAGACACTACCTTCATCTCTACGCGTATCATTTCGCTTTATTACAAAACATCACGGAAGAAGACAAGGAGCAACGTTTCTCCTTCGCTAACTGGCTGCTGGACAGTGAAGAAATCATTCCCAACATTTTATGGAGCGATAAAGCAATTTTTTCTGCGGATGGCATAATCAACAAGCACAATTTTGTGATATGGTCCCGTGAAGCTCCTTACGAGTACCTCACCCACAATCTCATTCCCCTCATCTCTGTCTATGGATGGGATTATCCTCAAAGTGTCTCCTCCATCTCTTTTTCTTTGATGCTACGGTTTCCGGCGAAAGTTACCGCTATATGCTGCAGACGCACGTTATCCCGCAACTCAAGCAGCACGAGAAGTCATCGACCGTCTTTCATGATGACACTACACCCCACTACTCAAACCAAGTGGGAACTTACCTTCGAGAGCAACTTACCGATGAGGGAGTCATTGCTGGTGGAGTTCCAAACTTTTGGCGCGCAAGGTAACCCGATCTCACACCTCTGGAACATTGGTTTTGAGGAATAATCAAGGCTCGCGTTAATCACGAAAATAAATCGATGAATTTGGTGAAGCTAAGAGCAAGAATTTAAAAGGAATGTGTACGAGTGACGCTCGAAGTTAAGCATGCTGTATCTCACATCTCATACCGCCTCCAAATTGTTATAGAAGAAAGGGGCGGCTTTTTCAACACTTTTGTAATGTCCGTTTGTTTACGGTAAACCTCAACAATGCATTTATGTCCGCATAAAATGATAAATCTTAAAATTAATGTTAAAGTTTTAACATGAATATTGTTTTTGCGTCTATTATGAGACACTCTGTGCTTCCCCAAACTGCCCAAGGTACTCAAATAATCGGCAAACATCGCACGATCCGAGACCATTTCAGTACTGTAGAAGGGTGAAAGATGTAGAGATACGCTGATTTCACTTTGGCAGTAGTCCAAACACAATGTGTTTGAATCAAAAAGTTACTTCATAAGCAACATGGGGCGGTTTCAAGGTGAGTGTAAATGGATGACACCAAAGTGCTGACGCGTATTGGGAGTGATGAAGTAATACTTGAATTTTTCACCTTGGACACTGTCTGAGAAATCATATACGATGGAATTATCACGCTCGCTCTAGAGGTTGCAGTAGGCCACAGGAGCAGGGCAGCGTTTGACCAGACTGTGATGTATTTGGCGTGCCTTAAATCGCCTTCGCTTAGATGCCAGCGTTTATTTTATTGGTATAATTATCCGGTGCGTCTCCATAAGCCTATATTTTATTACGTTAAATGTAAGTACAAAACCCTTGCGAAGAGTAACCAAATCCACAAGTATCGATGCCCATTCTTCTGTTGAGCCACATGTGCCTTTATCAAAAGCACACATTCAGAAGTCCCCCGTACTTTTAGCGTTACCGTTTCCCTTTTTATGTAGGAAGCAATATTGGTCGGAGTGATTGCTTTGGGTCACATCATTCTGATGAATGTGTATTTCAGTAATCGAGAAGTGGTGAGTAAAACCGTGTGATGTTAGATCTATCGCTTTACTGTGATTCTGATACGTGATCTCACACACACACAGTTTGAGTATCGTTTACTGCTCAGGATAAGTTATAACCCATCTACCGTTTATGTGAAGAAACACATGCTTATCGATCAGAGCCTAAGAACATCAAAAACGAGAGATTCAGCTGGGTTCCAGGTAAGTCTCTCGAAAAACTAAATTAGTTTGCAAATGAGTGTATATTCGCTAATTTCGTGTAATTTGGTTTCAATTAGAACAGAGGGTTGCGGAAACCGGGGACTGCGCCTACCTGATGAGCCCCAAGAAGTGCGAAACCGGCCCGTGGGCTGTGATGGAATTTCAGCAACCTTATGAGTAGTACATTACAAAGTACAAGGTTATTTTCTCCGCAGCTGATGTATCTTTTTCACAGAACATTTTATATTGGTTAAAAACGGTGTGAAAGTAGAACTTGAAACGGTTAAGCTATTTGGCACATTTTTTCTACTAAGGGAAGCAGCTTAATTCGCCCAGAACAAGCAGGCATTTAGCCACTACCGGAGGAAAAACTTACTAGCAGAATAGCTAGTTGCTCAGATATCACGATAAAGATATACCCAATCGTTTTTTATGAGTTAAACACCAAATGCAGATTTCATTGAAATGTGCGGGATTTTAAACAAACTGGCTGAGAAGGCTATTCTTTCGCTGAATAGGAACGGGGTGACAAAGATATTTATCACTTGTCATTTTTATTTTGGTTGGCTCGTTAAATTAACTCGCATTATCTGGTAAAAATGTATTTCAGTACCCAATAAATATAGTTTGAACAACACGAATTTACATTCATAAAGGAAATATTTCTGCCAGTTTTAAATTTCAGTACGGCAACAGAATCCAGATTGCAGTAACATGGTTATGTAGTAAAACCTGACGCTAAAATTCCCCACGATAAAGATGAATTGAAACAAAGTGTTACTTCATACCTTTTGTGCTTTTTAGCACAGATAAGTATGCAATGTTGCAAATGGAAAGGGCTGTAAATTCTTTCCTTGTTTACCAACATATTAAACCCCTCAAAAGCCTGGTTTTTGTTCCTGAAAATCTCGACTCATACTGGAATCGGTCATAACTATGACATTGAATTTCCATCCAATATAAAATAGTTGATCTTACTTTTGTTCCGCTTTTTATTGCCTCTTGTTCTCTTACACTCCATTTAGTTTCTGACGCGGAGCTACGACGAGTTGCAGCATCTTGTCAGGAAATACAAATCAATAGAAAGCAATGAAAAAGATAGTTGGACACTTGGGCTCTTTATGTCCATGGTATGTTCAAGAAATTATACATTTTACATTCCTATTGGGTAGATCAATTTATTAATTGTTCACCCATTTATTGTCAGATTAGCAGATAAGTACGATAATTATGCAGTCAACCTACTGTGGAAAAACTGAGCGCTCTACCTGACGTGAATTACTGTAAGTAGTCGTAATGTACTACTCACAAGTTTGCTGAAAATTTGTCGAGAGCAACCTTATGAGTAGTGGATTACGAATAAACATGTATCGCGATATCTCAAATATCGTAGTGACTGAAACATGAGGCGGCCCGATGCAACACATTCGATTGCCCGGAAACATCACAAACGAGAGATTCAGCTGTGTTTCAGGTGAGTCGCTTGCAAAAGAACAAATTAGTTTATAAACGAGTGTATTCTGCTACTGTAATTACTGCCTTGTTGCGCGGTTGAGTACAGTTTCTTAATAATTACAAAAAGTAGCAAAAAATGGCATGGTACAGTTTGGTTGCCACCAGTGCGCCCGAAATACAAACAAGCCTTCTCAAACCCCCCGCGCAGACGGCCAGTTTAGGTGCCAGGTATATGCAACAGCTCATTAGGCAAACATCCAGGTATATTGTCAGTAAACGTTCGCACGCAGAACACCGTTGACAGCACTCAATCGACTTCGTTGATTCTCAAATGATTATTCATTAATGAACACAATGCTGGAGGATTTTTCAGGTGTTGTAAATGTACACATTAGTGACATGCTCAATCGATATAGCACGAAGACCATGAAAACTGCATACGGTTTGATTAATCTAGTTTTTGAAAAAAGCACATCTTTGAATTCTAAATAACCAAATGTTAATAATTGATCAGGTGGCTGTTAATCTGTTCGCCGAGCTTGTCAATTGATTTGCAAACGTTTCGTCACCATTCGGGGAGACATTCTCAGTGCGCTGTTGGTTGAGTAATCTACGAAATTCATTGCAACGATTGTGAAAAACACTACGTGGGACAAACAGGGAGGAAACTGTCAGCCACCAGGGGACACGACCAACTCTCTCTCATCTCTGCACACGAAGATGGAGAAGGAAACAATTTCGATTGGAATAACGTCAGAATAATGGGCCATGCAAGAACAAAGAAAGAACGCAAGTTCATGGAGGCGCGGTACTCCACTGATGGAGCATTGAGATTGATCCTGCCTACCAGCCTCTGAGGACAAAGGAAATTTAGAACCACAAAACCCGAGGCCGAACAAGGACCCAAAGAAATAATCAAAGGAACAGTAAACCACTAAAAATAGAAGTTACGCTACAAGTAAACAGAGAAGCCGACGACGACGCAATACAGATCGAGAACAGACCAAATGAAAGAGACATCAATGGACGGCAAGTTCAACAGTAGTGGTACTGTAGGAGGCAAGAAATATAAACCAAAACTCAACACAGATTAAGATTGGACCAACCAGCATCCAGGTTACAGCGCAAAGGCTGTTCATGGTGCACCGAATACGTCTCCTCGAATGGTGACGAAACGTTTGCAAATAAATTGTCAACTTCGGCGAACAGATCAACAGCCACCTGATCACTTACCAACTAATACACCCTAGTTACCAAAATTCCAACACATTACCAAACAAATGTTTGTGAACTTGAATATCGGCATACCTCTGTTCAGAAGCAGGATTGGTCCAGATTATTCTAGAATCCACATTATATGTTTACTGGGCGATAAGTGCAATAGGATGGTCGCATTTGTTTTAGGTTCTCGGAAATCCAGGAAAAAACAATGAAAATTAAGGTATGCATGCTGGTGAAACAGCTATTTTTCGATCAAATGTTTCTTAATGTCTTCTAGAGTATCAAATATTCTCAAAAGTCTCTGTCTACGCTGAACGTTTATGGAGCGTTTAAATGAAATGCATCCCAATAATGGAGCTTATGTTTGCAATAGAGTGAAAAGACTCTTCCACAGACTTTGTGCACTGAAACGTTGTTTAAAATCACCAATCGATTAACTTTGGTTAGAGAGTTTCAGCAAAAACTCTTGGTTCATTATTTTTCATCCAGAAAATCTAGTTTTGCTCTCATATCGGAAAATTATTTGTTGGTTTAATTGGTACACTTCCCTGAAGGTCACTTTCAGAAGAAGTTTGTAATTTCGGGACTAAGGGGCTATTGTTTACCCGAAGGCAATTAGGAAGAGTTAACGACTGCCGAAGTTTCTGCTACCCACAAACATCTTGAACGTGATTAACTTTCCAGCATGCAATCAGCATGCATCATCATTTGTGACCAGTGTGGGACGTAAAACGATACGCAAAAACAGATTTCAAACTTCTGACGGTGTGAAATTCATTGGATATGCCTCACTCAGATGCCTTACTCAGTGCATTTGAACTTTCTAAGAAACAGGGAAAAGCACAGTAGTATGAATATCGCTCCGAAAAATAGGTTTTTTATCATCAGTATTTTCTGTACAGTATGACTCAGTAACTTCCTCCAAAAACCGCGGCCTATGGGGTCAAACGGCATGCGCCCTTATTCTACGAGGCCAAAGGTCAACTCACTGTTGACCGAGAAATTGTAACGTTCTACAAAGAGCTTTTTTCCTAGAACTTACTTTTAACAAGGCATCCAACCACTTCGTCATTTTCACTACACCACGGTGACCTGGTTTATTATCTTCAGGACTTAACCAAAGTAAATGAAACTCAGTGGCGAAGTGGTCTGTTTATATTTGAAATCATCTAAAAAAAAAAAGTCTGTTTATTTTGAAATCATCTAAAAAAAAAAAAAAAAAAAGTCAGTTTAAGACTGAATTATTTTCAGTCACTAGAAATTTACTTGCCACACACCGACGTACCGCTGTAGGCTGGTCTGTCACTACGTAGTCTTAGGGCGACTCAATGGTTAAAGCAGCGTTCCAAGAAAGAACGCCAACGACAAACTGTAGTATCGTAATTGCACATGCTAACACTCTCCCCTCTCTCCATTTGGGTTCTTTCAGGCTTCCGGGAGTTTCGTAACCACCTATAGGTTACCAAGCTGCGTCCACTGTGCATGCAATAAGAAAACGGTGTAAAATGAGACAGTAATTTGAGGGTGCATTCTATTCGAACTGACGTAACCCAAGTGGCGACAAACATTTGTTGTTTTAAAGCAAATCCCCGAGGCTAGTATAGTCGCACATTTGCATTTAGTCAACGTATAACCCAGAAAACTAATGAGATAACTAATTTGGTATAAGTAGTGACAGCCTAGAAATCCGTTTGTGTATTACTCTTTCGAAGCATAGAGTTTAACAGAACGAAGCCGCAATCTGTGTTTCATTGTCAACATGGACGGTGAGCATTATTCAGCCGCGCATGTCCTTTGATCTCAAGGAAATAGTATGGTATAGCATAGTATAGTATATAGTATAGTATAGTATTATAGTAGTAGTATAGTATGTTTTGCTGTACACATCTTGATTTCCTATCTACAATGGCGCAATATAACACATATTCTTCTTACACAACATCGCTAAGCAGACATGGGGTCACAGGCAACTGCTGTATGGACAACACCGACCCGAATAGCCTAGATATGACAGGATATTCGGCTCAAAATACGGTGGTTCTATGCCAATGAATATCACATGGACACCTTACCATCCGGAGACTCTAATCAGGTGAACCACCGAAATTTGTCAGCAGAAGGGAGTGTAAATTTAGGTGGCACAATGAAATTTGCAATGCTATTCAATGAAACCGAGGTCTTGTGCAGGCAAAGGGAGTAAAGCCCTTCAGTATTAGCAAACACGAACTGAGGTGTTAAAAGTCATTAGGCGGGAAACTAAACATCTCATATGCACATAGTTCATCAAAAATTGACATTCTCACGCGTCCTCTCGAACTTTCCCGGATATGCTTTAACTAGAAAACAATAGTACGAGAACGCTGCAGAGCAGTTCCACAAGTTCCGTGGCAAATTTCACCTCCCATCAGATGCGGTGGTGTAGATTGGTCACTAAACATAAACTGCTCGTACGACTCACCAGTAGTGTCCACCACTGAACATGTTACAGGGATGTTCAAACTACACCCCGCTTTTCTCATTATTTAGCTCAACTGTTGCGGTTATTTGAACGGAGACGACTTCAATGCCAAAGGAACACAGTTTACGCGACGAGATCATTACCTTGTTTATGACTACCCAAGTAGGTTGGTTTACAATAATTTTATCCCGTTCTTGCTGAAATGTCCATTGATTCTCCAGTGTTTTTTACTATCCATGGCTTTGAGGTTTGTTTAAAAGACCCTTTTTTGGGGCGCACGGCGCACATTTCCCGTGTTAGGCCGTGTCAAACTCGTTAGAGATGTTATTGCCTCAAATAACTGGGACGAGCATTCCTCTGGTTCCCTATTCTCTACGGAAGATCAAATGGGATCTCTTCTGGAGAGGTTTGGGCATGCAGGTGATTTACCGTAACTCGCGTGCAAGAATTTCATCGCCAGTTGTGGTGAAGTTTTCAATGCTTAAATAAGTGTCCGTTGAATAATGGTATGCGCGAGTTGAAAATATTTTCAATGAAGTTGGAAAGATAGCCGGTTATATTGCGTAGTCTGCCATTGCGTCATTGCGTCCGTTTGGCATCACTGATGGTTTAAAACCGTGGGACTTTATTTTTTTGCTTATGTTGACCGCTTGGTGCTACAGTTCATCATCTAACCCTACCCATCTGGTGTTCTGTTTCTTTGTTGTACCTAACTGACACGACAATTCCTTCATAACTTTCCCCAGATTGTACACCGTTCGAAAAGTCGGTTGATTGAATTAGTTTTGGGAATAGCCCATCTGGTGGACGCAGACCACTAACGTCACCACCAACCGATCACTGATAAGCTCCTCTAGACTGACAGTTAGGGGTTTGGAAAAATTCATCATCTTTGGTTAACATGCCACCAAGAAATATAACTGGAATTCACATTGCCTTGACCCGCAACTTCTCAGATCTACAAAAGTTTTGAAGGTGAGAAACATGGACTCTAGTACTTTGACATTTTCGAATTTTCCAACAAGAGCAAATGCAGCCAGTGACGGTGAAAGACTCTGCTGGGTGAGGATCAATACTAATCAAAACCTCTCATATCAAATTCATCCATGTCACGATGGCAAGCTCGAATCCGGATAAAACTCGTGGCAGCTGATCATTCGGAGCATTCAATGGCAGATTTCGAAATCTTTGGGACTGCAGGATATTCGAGGTCCAGTCACATTTTTTGCAATTACGTTGAGAAAAGGGAACATTCTATCGTACCAAGTGATTTTTGTTTAATTGGTATTTCATAAAGGTGCGGACGTCTAAAAACAAGTTCATAGGACATGCAGAATGGGTTGAGGAACATACAACATACGATGCGGTTTCTGGAGTTTGCGGTCATAAAAAGATGAAACAGATCACTTGAAAGGAATATATTGCGCAAATTTACGCAGATTAGTTAATACACCTATTTTTAGATCATTATGGAAATGAGAAAATGAGACGTTCTTGATAACATGCTTGTCTTAAAAATCCTGTGAGATTTGTATCGGTGAAAGGAAGAAGGCCTTCGCTGCGGAGTTATGCATTACAAAAAAACGACCGAAAAATTGCAAACTATTGGGCAAGGGAGTGAAACTCTCATAGGCGTCTTGTTTACAAAACTGAATGTCCATCTGCTTTTCAACGTATTCTTGGAATTTCCTGGACTTTCATTGACTATCACCCAAATGCAAGCAAATGCTACAAAGCAACTCCACAAATTCTGTAATAGATCTTACTTTTCAAGAGACGCGAAGTGGGTTTACGAGAGAACATACTACTCGCATGCCCCCGATCAGTAGTATCGCCGTTACAGTCTTCCCCCTTTAAAGGTCTTTCGCATGCCACCGGTTATCATTTGCCTCCGTCAGGTCGGCTTCAGCAGCGAGTCTACCCGACCACTCTTCGGGTGCATCATGCGACTTACGAAGCTGCGTGTCATTTACTCTTTTCGATCCCCGGCCATCTTGAATTGTATAGACGCTCGTCCGGCAGTCGGTAAAGACAAACGGCTGCTGCCATTGACTGCCTAGCTTCCGCGATCCCAGTCTACTCCTTCCAGGATTCTGGTGATCCTTCTGCTTAACCTTCGCGCCTGTGGCGAAAGATCGTGCCTGTCTACTTGCTGTTTGCTGTCTAGTTCTTTTCTGAACGGTGGCCAAGTATTCTGGAGCTCTCCACATTTCTCCTTCTAGATCTTCCGGAGACCAGCGTGTCGACGGCCGCAACCTAGCTTCCTGATCAACCAAAAGGCGCGGGTTTTAACCGTACACCAGCATGAACAGGGCCTTGTCTGTGGTCGAATATATGTTAGCAGGGTGAGCCAGCAACACCATCGGCACGTCCAATTCTCAGTCACCTATTTTGGCCGCCAGCCAACCCTTGATCGTTCGTTAATTACGTTCAGCTAGTCCATTTGTACGCGGGTAGTATTGTGCCGGCCGTAGCCGTCTGATGCATAGCTTTTGTAAGCAATTCCTGAAAAATTTGCCCTCAAAGCAGTTCCCCATGATCGGTTAGGATTATTGTTGGCGCCCATGGTTGGCCACGTTGTCATGCATTACCGCTCCACTGATCGTCGTCGCCCATGATTTGGCACAGCTGCCACCCCGACCCACCACGAATGTTCTATCATCATCATGATATACTGATTCCCGTTGGTTGTCACCGGAAAGGGGCCCATGGCATCAACATGTCATAACTCGTCGCATTCTGGGACAGGAATGTGTTCGAAAGGAATGGCTGCCCGTGCCATGTCTCCATTCATCAGTTGGTATCGATTACAGGACGCCACATAATCCATCACATCATTTCTCATCCCGGGGCAGTAGGCCTTCTGCCGAAGTAGGTCGTACGACTTGGTGCATTTTGTATGTGCCATCTCGTGGCATTCGATGATAAGCTTCCGTCTCAAGACACGAGGTATCACGGGCGGCACAGCATCCGAATCGGTGGTCAGATCCAGTTCGACGACGATACCATTGACCCCAACCATGATCCTAGGGACCTCATCTGCTGCCTCAGGTCTAGACAGCCAATCAGCCAAGTAGTTCTCCTTCCCTGGCGCCTACTGGATTGTGAAGTCATACTCTTGCAACCGGCGTGCCTAGCTTTTCGTGTGTATCCCTGGTGGTCCTGATCCACTCCAGGGGTTTGTGATCAGTTTTGACAAGAAATCTTCGTCGAAGCAGATATGGCCTCCACTTATCCAAGGGCAAGACGATGGCTAAACATTCTTCCGCAATGGTCGAGTACTTCTATTCAGTGGTAGTCAGGACAAGACTGGCATATTCGATAACTCCATTCCTCTGCTTTAGGACTGCGCAGATACCGTGATCATTAGCCTCCGTTGCAACAGTATACATCTCTCCGATCCTGGGCAGTTTTAGGGTCAGTTGCTGATCCAAAATCCGCGCTTTGACACATCCGAAAGCCTCGTATGCTTCCCTGGTCTACACGAATTAGGGATTTGGCACGAGGCCAGCCTCCCGGATCCGCTTCAATAGAGCCTTCAAGGGAACTGCGTGCTCTGGTTCCGTATCCCTGTACACAACGATACTGTCTCCGTACACGACAACATTCTGGATTCCCTTCGTTGAACGAAGCCGGAATGTGAATGGTGCTCTAGATAAACTAAACGGCATTCGTCTAAACTGATATTGGGTATCCCCAACCGTAGATGCCGTTTTCGCCGGTTCATCATCTTGATAGATATTAGCCAGTATCCCGAACGCAATTCGAACACCGTGAAATATCGGGAGTGCTGGAGGGAATAAGCAATCCCCACAAATGAAGATACAGCTATCACCAGATTTACGGTGGGTTCATTCGAACGCCAGAAATCGACGCAAAACCTGTATTTTCCGTTCGCTTTACGTATAAGCACAACTGGGCAGTTGTACTCACCACCGGCTTCCACGATTATGCCATTGTTCGACGTCATTTGAATCTATTTATGAACCTCCTCCCGTAGGCGGGGCGGCAACGGACGGCGTTTGTTAGATCGAAAGTGTTTTGACGACACATGAATTTCGTGTTTAATCCATGGGCAGAAGCCAAACGGATCCTCATCGCACGTGAACAGTTCGGAATATTCCTCCACGACGGACCGTACTGATGGTACGTTACAAGACGGAAGCTATCAGACATGCAGCTTACCTACAGTAGTGCCTGAATAGCCTTCAAACTTGACTGCGGCAAACATTGCCAATAGCTTTCCTTGATTTAGGTCAATCACGGAATCTGTGCCTCTGATAAAATATGCCCCAGATATTGTCTGTTCAATGTCTGTCCTAATAAGGAACGCGTGCTGCACAGACTTGTCGCCTGGGCGTATCGAGTGCAAGGACAATCAGTAAATCTTAAGTCGATGTCCACCCACTGTTCTTACAGCTAGTGCGCATGGTCGGTATTCAGCTTGGTCCCCTCCTCGCCAAGCGATACCCCTGCTCCGGTATCGATCAAGCACAACTCCCTCCTCCCGTCCATCTCGATAGCGGGTTGTATTGCGGCCTGTGTCACCGCGCTAATCATAACCCTCGCGGGAATAGAGAATAAGAATAGAGAGAATTCCAAATTTTTATTATATATAGGTTTTCGGGTACGAGTTCATTAATTCTTCCATTGGCCATGCCTGCCACTCTTGTAGCACCGGCTCGCTCAACGGTGCTTCCACGATTCCGTCTCTAAGGCTGCAAGATGTTCCGCGAGTTGGTTCACTCTAGTCGGCCATTCGTCCACTGTTGAACCATCTCCGTTCTCCTGCGACTGCAACGTGGCCAGTGGTGCCTCAGCCAATTCTATTACCAGATGCACTAGCTCCTGCACACGCCAGTCACCCTCATCAACCGCAACCGGGCACCAAAACCCGGCCGTACCCCTCCGATGAACTGGTCAGACAGCAAATGTTGGCCCGACACTCGGTCCAGTCCCGGCAAAGCCCGATCCAACAACTCACTCGGTCCGTCCCGGCAAAGCCCGATCCAACAACTGCTGCATGCTGGCGAAGAACACGTTCGGGTCACATCCAAGTGCCATCATGGCCATCTCGACCTGCCTCATAGCCTCCGGGCGGTCGGGGGGCGTGTCGAACTCCGCTGCAAGGACTTCCTTCGCGGAGGCCAAGTTTATCTTCCAAGGGCCTCTCCTGGCCTCATCCAGGGCCGCCTTCGCCCGGCCTCTGAGGAGGGTCATCAGCGTCACCAACCTACATCGGTCGGTATCCATTCCGCAGCCACTGCAACCCATAGGGAAGTTATCATACGCTAGGAATACAAACCGCATCCGTCTCTTCTTTATAAGCAATAGACATCCTGAAACACAGGCACTTCGTCTACCCAGATTCACCTGTAGGTAACTGTCCTCAGTGGTCCACTACTGAACACCCGATTTAGAAGGAAATAACGAGGAGTGATTCATCAGAAGTCCATTATTTATTTCTTTGCAGTGTTTAAGAAAGTACATAGATTGCTCACTTTAAGGTTTCTCTTACATAGTTAGCTGCACGAACCAAAACGTTTGAAAACGAGACTGGTGATCAACTGGTGTCATTGCCACTCACCTCATCGATCCACCCCCGTGGTCAATACAGTGGAACGTATAGAGGAGAACGTCGGTAGCTCAGGTAGCGTAGATGGTCGTTGGCTTGTTCGCTGAGCTGGGCAATTTGGTTGCAAACGTTTCGTCACCAATCGAGGTGATATCATCAGTGCGTAGTTGTGCGTAGTGGTGGGTTAGTGGATGTCAACCTTTAGGGTTTACGAACCTGCTCAATATTTTAAGACTGCACTTGCTAGAAAAGAGGTTATCACATTATTATATTCGCGAAAATTTGCGATTTGGTTTGAAAAATGACGGTGTTCCTTGCTGTGTGTGCGTATTGCGAAAGTCAGCAAAATTTCGTGTCGAATACCAGAATGATCTAGCAAATCACTTCATATCAAGCTGAGTCAGGCTGAGTTGCATTTTTGTGTCACCTATTAGTAGACCATATTAGACGGGGTCAGCCGCGGATTCCAGGCGCAACAACTCCTAAAGATTTTGTGGGGCAAAGGAAAGAACACTAAATTCTACTTATTGAAATTTACGTCACATTGCCTGACAAATAAACAGGTGGAAAACCAAAACTCGGACATTGAGAAAACACCACTCAAGTATATCATTATTCAAAAATTAGCCAGTATGTACGTAAAATCACCTATGGTTAAAAGCTCTTCTCTGAGAAGTCATTTATTAGCAAGCACGAACGAAGCAGTCACGAGTCAATAGACAGAGAAGTAAACATCACATAATCTTTAAACTTTGGACATTCCCACACTGCAAAGCGGTTCTACAAATTCTATCAGGGGATGCGGTGTCGGAGCTGTGATAATCTCCACAGGCTACTCCCATGTTTCATCAGTAGTATCCACCAATGTCCAGGGACTTCTGGAGTCATCAATTCGAGAAAAATGCAAAGAAGTACCCGTATCAGATCGATACTTTGTGGTGGTGTGGGTGGGGGGGTGGTAGTGGTGGAGTTCGTGGAGGTGGTGGTGGTGGTGGAGGTGGTGGTGGTTGTGGTGGTGGTGGTGGAGATGGTGG